AAGAGACACCTTTTGGTCTTAATCTACGTAGTGTAACGAAAGAGAAGAAGGTTAGTAGTTTCTCTGACTGGTGATTTACTAATTAAATACTTAACAATAATGTAACTTTTACCTGCCTCAGTTTAGTGATATCAGGCTAACTAGCTAGCATCAAGATATTCCATGACCACAGCAGAAGTTCTGACTACTCCCAAATGCTTTAGCACTCCACTGCAGTTTCTCCTGTGTATATCAAGTCTAGAGATATCAGGTCAAGATCTTGCTATAGAATCACAGAACAATATATGTTTGAAGGGACCTCTGGTTCCCCCCCCCCCACCCCCCCCTCAAAATGAAGTGAACTTGGAGCAGGTTGCTCCAGACCATGTCTTATTAAGTTTTGAATATCTCCAAGGATGGAGATTTCACACTCTCCCTGGCCCATTCCAATATTTGACCTCTCTCACTTTTTTTGTTCATATCTGTATGAATTTTCCCTTGTTGCAGCTTATATCTTTTGCCTTTTGTCCTGTCACTTTATGCCTCCAAAAGAGCGTGACTTCATCTTCTCTACATCCTCCCACTAGGTCATGGAAGACAGCATTATGATCCCTCCATAGGCACCCTTTCTTAAGGCTGCTGAACAAACCCAATTTTCTCCTTGTATGTCATGTGCTTCTGCCCTCTAGTCATCTTGATGGCCTTCTGCAGGTCTCACTCCAGTTTAGCCATGTCTTTCTTGTACTAGGAAGCCCCAAACTGAACATAGTACTCCAGATGCAATTGCAACAGTGCCAAATACAGAGAAAGAGTCATCTCTCTTGACCTTTTGGCTGTCTTTGCCTTGCTAAGACAGCCCGTGATTATTTCAGCCTTCTTTGCTGCAAAGGCCTACTGCTGGCTCATGTTCAGCTCTTTGGTCACCAAGACTATCAAATCCTTTTCTGCACTTTGGAAATCTATTTAGGACCTGATATGTCCCACATAGGCTTACTTGTTTGGGTTTGAATTTTAGAAATGCCAAGTACCTACAACATCCATTGACTTCAAATGGCCTTCTAAAAGTTATTCTACAAAGTCAGGCCCTAAATTTGTACAATCCTTATCAGTCAGTAGGAGAAAGCAGACAGAAAGCTCACATCCAATAAAGCAAGGTAGGAACTAAAACTACACAGGAGCCTTTTCATTTATAACTGCAAGGTTCTCTACTTTCTGTAGAGACACTGCTTATTGTGCTTGTCACTTCCAAGACACATGTACTGCTCTGCTGCATTAGGGGAGTGCATGAGTTGCCAAGGAATTATTTGAGGGCCAAGTGAGTGAGCCAAGTGCAAGTGTGCAAGGGAAGTGCAAGACTTGAACGGTCTTCATGTTTAAAGGCGTATCCTTTCCTAAATATTACTTGCTTCCCCATAGATAAACTTAGGCCTTACAGACAGGATTATGTGGCGGGGGAGAGTGAGGAAGAACTCCAATGTCTTTCCTTCTTTTTCAGTGTTCAAAACGGAGGATTCAATCCTTTCTCAACAAACTACAGAATGAGGCAAATCATGCAGTGATAAAGTTTGAGTTTAGAAATCCTTTTTTGTCTGTTTATGTTAGGTACTCTATAAAAAGCATATCACCATGGTATCCAAGCTCTTTCCAATTAAAGAAAACTATTTCTACCGTTTACTTAGCAACTTTGACAATAGCCTCCAGCAGCAGTGGAACAACTTGACTGCCTGGCATTTTACAAGATAAATTCTTCACTACTGTCTATTTCTTCTTGCACTGTTGCTTGCAAAGCCTTAAAAAGTTACTGCTCCTTCCACCACTGAGGCTGGTACTATTGCAGTCACTTGAGCTATGGATCACTGGGTACACTTTGTACCTTTACTTGCCACTTTGAGAAAAATCAATTTCAGTCTTGAAGAGATGAAACTGGTGTTGCAGAAGATCAGTGCACATTTCCAGGTGCTCTAGGGCACTGGTGTCTTGATGGGGATTCAACAAAACATGACATAGGTATGGAACAAAATTGCTTACTTTTATGCTAAGAGATCTTCTGAAAACATTGTAGAGTAAATCAGGGTACTGTGAAGAAGAGAAAGTCACACCAGCTACAGTAAATAATTGTACAGTATTCACAATACTAACATCGAAACTATAACTTGTGTTACTAACTGTAAGTTGCTGTATGCCAATAAATGTTGTAGGTATAATAGAAAAAGAAGATAAAAATAGTATATAGGTAAAAATAACATACCTGACGTTAAGGAAGCAAAGAGTTTGTGCTTCAGAACTGGTAGAAGTGTTCGAAAGACTTCTCTCCAGGTAGAGCTTGGTTATCACCATCTTGGAGATTATGTCAAAGCAGCTGTGTAACTGTCTATCTTTTTCTTCATTTCTTTTTAAACTTTTGTACCAAACACATATTTCTTCAAAACTTCAGAAATGGATCCTTTTCTTTTTTTTGACTTCTATATTCATATAGGAAAATTCATTTTTTAATTTTCTGTTTGTAACTTAGAAATAT